ATAAAGAATAGTAGAATTACTTTAATAAATACTACTTTAGTTACTATATAAACGCTAATCTAGTTACGCTATTAACGCTAGCTAAGTTACTCTATAAACGTTAGTCTAGTTACTATATAAAAGCTAATCTAGTTAGGCTGTATAAGATTACTAAGTTACCTTATAAAACCTAATATAGTAACCTTATAATACATAGTCTTTGTACCTTATAAAGTACTCCTTAATTACCTTAATAAGTATAGTATACTTACTTTATAAAGGATAGCTTAACTATCTTATCTTATTAATAATTAATTTTAATACTTACTAGTTAGATTTATCTTATATAAAGTTTTATTCTATACTTATTCCTTTATAAAGTATTAGTGCCGGTAACCTTTAAGTATTTACGGTTAGAATTATCTTACTTAAGGTATTATTCTATAGCTATCCCCTTATAAAGTATCTGTACCAGTAACCTTTAACTTTTTACGGTTAGAATCATCTTACTTAAGGTATTATTCTGTACTTATCCCCTTATAAAGTATTAGTAGCGGTAATCTTTAGGTTAGTACGGTTAAAACTATCTTACTTAAGGTATTATTCTATAGCTATCCCCTTATAAAGTATCTGTACTAGTAACCTTTAACTTTTTACGGTTAGAATCATCTTACTTAAGGTATTATTCTGTACTTATCCCCTTATAAAGTATTAGTAGCGGTAATCTTTAGGTTAGTACGGTTAAAACTATCTTACTTAAGGTATTATTCTATACTTATCTCTTTAAATAGTATTAGTACCGGTTGTTTTTAACATTTTACGGCTAGAATTAAATTAGTTAACGATTATTTACTCTCTATCTTTATTATAGTATATAAAACGTTATAGTTATAGAATTAACTTTATTATATACCTAACTCCTAACTCTTAACTCCTTAAATACAAATAAATCTCTTATCCTCGTCTTTTTCTTTCTCGCGGATTAGGAGATACTACTAAGTTAGAATAAATACTAGCTGCCGAGCTAGTAGGTGTAGTAGGCCGCTTTA